AGCAGCAAAGAAGAAGCCCAGACATGACTGCAGATCGGGGTGGGAGATGGTGGTGGGGGGCGAGCAGGTTCAGGGGCCTGGATTCAGAAGATCCACGCGCTTCTGTGGGACCCACCATCAACCAGCAGGGCGCTCACAGCAACACGGCTGCTCTGAGTCTCCAGTTCACTCATCTGTGAAATACAGGTGGCTCGTCTGCTCAGGCTGTGACCAAGAGATCACAGTCGGGGTGGCTGAAAACAATGGAAATTGATTCCTCACAGTTCTGGAGGCTGGAAGTCCAAGACCAAGGTGCAGCCCGCTCAGTTCCTGGTTGGCGGAAGTCTGTCTTCTGGCTATGTCCGCCTAGCTCGGATAGCAGAGAGAGACAGGACTCTCCCATGCCTCTTCTTATAAGAGCATTAAACTCATTGTAAGGGCTCCACCCTTAGGACCCAGCCACCTCCCCAAAGCCCCACCTCCTGACACCATCACACTGGGGATTAGGGTTTGACATCTGAATTGGACAGGATGGACACGAACGCACGGTCGAGAACAATGGGAATCCATAAAACCAGCCTCCGTCTCCGCATTTCCTTCAGAAATGGTGATTTCTGTCCCTTATTGCAGACACTCTGCACAGTGGCGCACTGCAGATTCTCAGAGAACAGTTATGGGATCGAAGAAAGAAAAAACTTCTATCAACTGCAAAGTCCTAAGCAAGCGGACCTTAGTTCCCTCCCAGATCCTAGAGCAGACTGGGGAGCCCGTGAAGGAAGAGCACTCTGTGCCTGATATCTGACATTCTAACCCCAACTTGGTGTCCAAAAACGCGGGAAATCTAAGAGGACATTCCCCGAGCATGTCACGGTGCCAAAAGCTGCAGCCAAAGACGGAGCAATACCCGGAGTTTGTTCTCAAAACACTCATGATCTGGGGAGACGAGCTGATGTTCAAGGAAGTTGGACGCTGCTTCTGGAGACAGGAGGAAACCAAACCTGTGGGCGAGATGATAACACCTCCCTGACAGTCTAGGGGTTAAGATCCCACCTTCTAATGCAGGGCGTGAGGGTTTGATCCCTGGTTGGGGAGCTAAGTGGGCTTCCCTGGTGGCTCAGATGGTAAAGAATCTGCCTGTAATATGGGAGACCCAGGTTCGACCCCTTGGTTGGGAAGATCTCCTGGAAAAGGGCATGGCAACCCACTCTGGTATTCTTGCCTGGGGAATCCCATGAACAGAGAAGCCTGGTGGGCTACAGTCCACGGGGTCACAAACAGCAACCAAGCAACTAACACTTTTTTGGGGAGCTAAGATCTCAGATGCCAAAAAACTCAAAATAGAAAACAGAAGCAACACTGTATAACAAATTCGATAAAGACTTTAAAAGTGGTCCACATTAAAAAAAAAAATCTTATAAAAAAAGAACTGAAGGTTCCAAAGGCTGGCCTTTATTCCAATATTAACTATAATAATTATCACTCGTAATGATAACTGTGGTCAGTACTCAGCTCTGCGGCCAGCTGCCGGATAAACCGGAGTGAAAGAGACCCAGAAATGCTTTCATTTTCGGGGGTGGCTTGGACTCGCTGCCTCTGCAAAGCCCATCACAGACAGAGCTGAGGAAGCTCAGCGTCTGCTGGTGTGACAGATGTTATCAGAAGAAACAAAATTAGGCACATTTTTCCCCTAGACTTACGAATCCCTCCTCTGCATTTGCCCTCACGTTTTGACATTAATTGAACTCTGTCTTCACGACTAAAAATAAATACCAGGTCAAATGCAATGAGCCAAAAACCTCACTATGAAACCACAAGAAACAGCAATAGTAAAACGGGCCAGCAGCAGAGGTGTTTTGCGAATCTGTTTCTGTTTCAAGGGGAGAGTTCCGAGTGGGTCAGGAGTTCTTTTGATACCGTGGACACTGAGTAAAGGAAGCGATCTTGACACAGGTACCCTACGGCTAAAGCCCAGGGCTGGCTGGTGTCCAAGGACAGGCAGGAAGGTGTCCTCGAACGCCCTCTCACCCATGGCCAGAGAGGGCTGGTTTCGGAGGATCCATTAGGAGCCAAGAGATGTTTCCAGAGGGAGGCAGGGGTGGGAGAGGAGTCCAAAAAAGCATGGTCAGAGGGAGAAAGGCAACCCCATGCACGGGCGCGAGGAGGGGCTGGGATGAGACGGAATAATGTGGCTGGGAGCCAAACAGGTTAGGGAGGTGGGGGAGAGGCAGACAGCAAGGACACCTTCTCACTGACCATTTCCTCGGACCGGATTCAGCAGCTGAGGCAGAGGAGCGGGGCGAGCTGTAAGGACTTGCCCAGGGTCATAGCGGGGTGGGAAGGGGAACTGGGGTAGAATCCGGGTTATTGGTACTTCTGTTCCATGGCAGGAACAGTGCAAAGAGCCCCACGGATGTGGATGCCCTCGCTGGCGTGCAGCCCAGGTAAGCTGACTTCTAGGCAAGGGGGCGGGCAGACGGGCTCCCCGGAGGAGAGCAGCGTCTTCAGAACACCTAGGACCGCAGGCGCAAGCACAGAGCTTGGGCTTTTTTCGGAGGCCTGCCTGGGGACGCCTTCAGGACCATGCGTCTTCAATTCTCTGCAACCACTCCTGCTCTGTCTGCTCCCAGCGGCCGAATTCTAGGGAAATTCCTCTCCCATTACCCCCAGACAAACCTGCCAAGCCTTTCCTCTGTCAATATAACAGTGCTTCCAGCTTCCAGATCGTCCGCCCCAGTGCCTGAACTCCCATCGGCCATTCCCCTGGACTCGGGAACAGCGCACCCCTGCCCTGAGGTGCTACATGGAGCGGGGAGGATGCTGAGCGAGGCGGCTGCGTGTCCGCGGACACTCCTGCTCCCCGAGCTGACGGCCTGGACCGGGAGCGTGGGCTTCTGAAACAAAGCTTCAGGACTGGTTGTGTGCTCGAGGGCCCAGAAGAGGCATGCAGCACTTTCACAGGAAGGCCTGTGAGCCGTACCTTCCGCCCCGGCCTTCTGACACCAGAATGAGCACTTTGATCATGAAATAAAAGTGAGCTGGGGAAGGGCTTCCCTGGTGGTCCAGTGGCTAAGACTCTATGCTCCCAAGTGTAGGGGCCCTGGGTTCGAGCCCTGGTCAGGGAAGTATTAATAGATCCCACCCGCTGCAACGGAGATCCCATGTGACACAACCAAGACTCGGCCGTAGCCAGATACAGTTTTAAAAAATTAAATGGGGGAGGTGAGTGTGCCGGGCTGCGGAGCACCTGAAGGGGGAAAGGCTTCTCTAGCGCTCAGCAGCTCAGCTCCAGGTAGCTCTTATTCACATGCATCATCCAAGAGTCTCAAGAGGCAGCAAGCCTCTCAGAATGAACAAGGGCCCCTCCCCAGGCCTCCCAGACATCTGTGAATCTGCAGCGTGTGCATGCTCAGTGGCTCAATCGGGCCCGACTCTTTGAGACTCCATGGACTGCAGCCAGCCAGGCTCCTCTGTCCATGGGATTCTCCAGGCAGGAATACTGGAGTGGGTTGCCATGCCCTCCTCCAGGGGATCTTCCCGACCCAGGGATCGAACCTACATCTCTTGTCTCTCCTGCACTGGCAGGTGGGTTCTTAGCACTGCGCCAGGGCCATGCCTTTGTGTGTCAGGGCTCCCACCGTGACCCAAGGGCAGAGCCTCGTGTTCTTCACCCCTGCTGAGGGCCACAGGCTCCTCGACACCACAGGAGGCCAGAGATCCAAACGCACTTTGAAGAGGCGTGGGGTATAGAAGGCAGATGACAGAGGAGTCCCGGAGCACGGCCCTAACCGGTTCCTCCCCGGTCCACACTTTGTCACCCAGCTCTCCACCCTTGCAGAGCTTTGCCGTGTGTGGGGAGACTCATTTTTCCTTTTTTCATCATGCTATTTATTTCTTACAGCACCTCCTTGAAGAAAAAAATGACAACGGACCTCACTCTTCGCTCTAAATCTTTAAAAGCTTTCTCCTTCCAGGTCCCAGTCTGGCTTTTCCTCTCTAAACCCTCCTCCTCAATAATTCATTCATTTGTTCTGCCAGCGTCCACACGGGAGGCTCAAGCCTGGAGCGTCAGGATGTGTAAGGCAGTTCAAGCTCGCCAGTGACCGCAGGGACTCCCAGGGGGACGGGGAAGGGTGGGGAAATCACACGGCATCCTAAAGGCATGCCTTCAACTGCCGGCTCCAGTCCAGTGGAGGGAGAAATCGACTTTGCTCGGGGCAAGGGGCTATGCACGCGCGACCAGCCCTTTCCCAGGCAGACTTGGTGGCAGGTGAAAGGCAGAGAGAGTTGCAGACCAAGGACTTGGAGACAGCCTGCTGCCTGGCAGGGCCTTGAAATGGTGTCATTAATGAATTGAAAACAAACCCAAGAAAGAACCTTCTTCCGTTTCGGAGCATTTGCTCCTCCATGAAAGGCAGCAGGGTAAACTTTATCTCCCCATATCACTCAGCACCTACATCCTCCCGGGGCACTAATAGGATGCTGATTTTATAAATGAGGAAATCAAGGCTCGGGGAGGCTGAGCAAGGTGAGGAGCAAAACCAGGAAAACGGAGGTTTGCCTGAAGGCGTCAGTTTTAACCTCTTACCCTTGCCCCACAGGCAGCCTGAGACTTGGAAGCTGGCACAGGCAGTTCGAGGAGGTGGGGAGACAGGAAGAGATTACATCCGGATACCCAGGAAGATCTGCTGACCTGATCACATAATCCCACCAAACCTACCCAGTCTCTCCCTGGTGCCGGCTCCACGCACCTCAGCAGGATGGCCCGATCATCCTCTCCTTTCACCAGAAGGAAAAGTGTGGGGTATCCACCAGGAGACTGTGAACCCCTTCCTCAGTTGGGGACAGAGGGATTGCGCCCAGGCACGAGGTCCAGGCGAACAAACCCTGAGAACTGGGTCTTGTGTACCAGGGTGGCCTTACAGGAAGCAGTCAGAAACCACCCCCAACTTGTGTTGCAAGAGATCACCAATTCCAATGGCCATCATTGGTTCCAAAAGGCTCAGGAGGAGACAATTTCTTACCTTGATTCTTTAAATCCAATGATATTCCAGCTTTAGTTTAGAGAAGAGCAGTTTTCAAGTCCTTTTGGATTATTGAATGGATATGTACTCTTTCTCAGATTAAAGGCACCAAAATCCCAGGTGTAACAAGATTCTAGAAATAAACAAGAAAAGGGGACTATTAGTGTCAATGCTCACACGAATGAATTTGGTAATGAGACATCTCATTCATTGAAAAAAATAAGAAGTGCATCTTTACTATGTGCTAAATGAGAAGCATCAGAAGAGCAGGCATTTATTGAGTAGCTACTATGTGCCAAGGTGTCCCTGGTGGTTCAGTGGCAAAGAATCTACCTGCCAATGTAGGAGAGGCAGGTTTAGTCCCTGGGTCAGGAAGATCCCCTGGAGGAGGAAATGGCAACCCACTCCAGTATTCTTGCCTGGAGAATCCTGTGGACAGAGGAGCCTGGCGAGCTACATGGGGTCACAAAGAGTCAGACGTGACCTAGTGATTAAAACAACAATTATGTGCCAAGCACTGTTGAACATGCATTTGAATGCATGAAGCCATTTGATCCTATGACATTGGTCTTGGTAGTGGCAGTTTCAGACGTCACGTAAGCACCCAGATCACAGTCAGGTTAGGTTTTCCTGACTTCCAAGCCTCCATCTACCGATCGCAGTCCCATGCCTTCCCCGCTTAAGCTTTTTCATTCATCTGATTCCAGGAATTCTGGGCAGAAGGGAAGGAGAAACACACCCAACAACTTCATTCTGAGAATGGCCAGTCCCTGGAAGCCCAACCCATTCCACGGATGGTGGGGAGTTTGTGAACCACGGAACGACATCAGATTAACTCGGCTGCAGCTTTATCTGCACCCAACACTGTCATGTTGTCACATGTGACCAGTGGACATTGTGCATTGCTCAGGGAACCCAAACTGCAGCCTGGCCAGAGATTCTTATCCTAACTGCTGATGCAGGCGGCTTACAAGAAGAGGCCTAAAGCATGGGGCAGGGTGAGGGGCACCTCACAACCAGGGGCTGTCCCTGGTTTACCAGCTCTGGGAGGACCTCCTAAGTTCCCTGGAATCAGGGCTGAATGCCCAGCTGGGGGCAGGTGGGCACCGACACGGACCCTGTCCTCTCCTTCAAGGGGTGGTGCGGCACCCACCGTCACATTGACAATGGAGTGATCCTTTCCCCTTCCAGACCTCCTCCCTGTCCTGCCCCCACAAAAACTCCCAGCATCCTGGCAGCCAGATCATCAAGGAGATGGGGCTCAATGAGCCCACACTCAGGAGAAAGAAGGCTGACAAGTTCCGAAGGGGAATTCGCCCTGGAGTCTAGAAAGCTGGAGCAGCTTAGGACGCTGCTGTCCCAGCCAAGAGAGGAGGCCAGGCGGCTTGGATGCCCCACCATCAAGTCCCTCTCTCTCTTCCATGAAACCTTGGACCCAGGTTGCCTCTCTGAGGCCCACCGGTTGTCACACGCCTCCTCCGGATGTGTTAGCATCACGGACCAACCTACAACAGCTCTGCAAGCCCCAGAGAGTTCCTGTTTCCTCCCACTGAGTGCCAGTTTAATCCATCTGAGTCCCAGTTCCCAGCAGGAGAGGATGAATCTCCCCCCGCCTTGGAGAGGCCCCCTTGACTAGCCATGCGCCCAGAAAGATGCCCTCCTCAGCACATCCACGCTGAGCCGTGGGCAGCCTCCCACACTGCTCCGGCATTTTGACCAGGAAAGCACTTTTTGCCTCATTGTCAAAGTGCACCCGCTTCATTGCCCACAAAAGGCAGCAGCCCGGTTTCCTGGTTGACTGTGGGCTCTTGTCAGGGTGCCTGGATTGGCATCCTGCTTCTATGCCTAAAAAAGTCCTATGAGAAGCCTGAGTGAGTGACCAGTTCTCTGAGCCTCAGTTTCTCATCCTCGAGGTTTGTTATTCGTGTTGAGTGAGAATCTTTGCAGAACTCAGCACTTGACCTGGCACGTTATGCACGCTATGAACCTGAGAAATGTCAGTCATTGTTAGTACCGAACTTAAGCCAATGCCTGGACCCTAACTTCTCAGTCTCCTCCCAATAAGAGGGGAAAACAAGGTCTCCTCTCTTCCTATCTCACCACCGTGACTTGCTCAGTGTGGGGGCTCAGGGAATAAGTGAAGACAAGGCAAATCATGTGAAAAGCTGAGGTTTGAGCCAAAGCCACTCCTCTCCAGACCTGGCTGTGAATCTTGGGTCTCAGTTTCTTCATGTGTGAAATGGAACAGATTATGACACTTAGCCCACCTCTCCATTATGCTGCCAGGATTGAACAAGAGACCATGCAAAGGGGCTCTGGAAAACCACAAGTATTAAGGATGTAATTCATGAAATTCATCATAATGGTGCCATTTACAAGCACACTTGGTAAGGGACCCTTTGCTAAGGAATATTCCCCCAGACCTCACTGAGCACCTACCAGACCCCAGGAGGTCTGGCCACAGGTACAACCGTCATCCCCACTTTACAGATGTGGAATCTAAAGCTCAGCTAAGGAGGCGGCCCAACACCAACCAGCAAATCTGCGGCTGAAGAGTCGGTTCTGCGTGCTCCCCTCACCCCGTCCTGGAAAGGAACCTGCGGGAACAAGAACATCAGCTCCTACATTTAAAGAATCTCTTTCCGAGGCAGCCAGACTGATTAATGTTTTTAATTAATGTTTTAAACCACACACATGGAGCAGTGTTCTGTGGAAATTAAGGAACTAAAATATCTAACTTTGTCCCCAAGAGTCAGCCCAGCCAGAACAGGGTGGGAGGCGGCCTGGTGGCCAGGGACCAGGCTGGGCGGGTCACAACCTCAGCACCCAGAGCCAGCAGGCAGGGCAGTCACAGAGAGACAAGCCGGGGGAGAGGAGACCGGCCTGGCCCAGGGCGACAGCGTGTGCAGACCACTTCTCCCAAGGATCCGACAAGCTCAGCACTAGACGGGGCGGGGGGCTGGGGTGGGGGAGAGGCCGGGAGCCTGGGCCTGAAGGGTGAGGGGGCTGCTGCTCTCGGACCCTCCTGCCTGACACTCTGTCCAGAGGACAGACATTCACCTGCACTGTGGCTCATGGAGATGCTCTGCGCTTGAGCCTGAACCAGGGGACCATGGGCTTCTGTGGAGATGACAACAGTACTTCCCTGATGTCACTTGGGATAGAGGAACATCACTGCTGGGCCCAGCACTAGGCCCTGATGAATGGGGAGCCTGAGTGCCCGCGCCAGGCAGACCTACTACCCCCCAAGGTCCCGAGGAAGCGAGAGACAGATGGGGGCCCAGACTCCAGCCCCTGGAGGGGGACCTTCCTTGCTCTGCATCCCAGTTCCAGACTGTCTACTCCTATCCACCGCCTGAGAAAAGGAACCATACCATCATCCTTTCTCCAACGAGAAGGCAAGGGGCACACAGTGTGATATGCAGCGAGCATATCACGAGCTCTGCTGCGAGCAAGGCCACCTTGTCGCTGGGCAGCCGGCCCCAATGCCACCTGGAAGCTGCCTGGGCAGCAAGGTCACCTGGGCACACTGGTGGCAGCCAGGACCAGCCACCCCACAGGCAGGGCCCTGGGCTGCTTGGCAGGAGACAGTAAGCCGGCCATGAAGTGAGCAACTGCATGTGGACTCCTGACCCGGAAACCATCCTTGTAATTTTTCCTGCCGTTCTGAAATCACACTCGAGTCAAAGATGACCAAGAGCTGAGGAGCAGGAGGGCGGGAACAGGCCTAAAGGTCTAGTAGAGACCAACCGTGCAGGCCCAAAACACAAGGTTTTCCCACCGAAACCAGATGTAAAAGTGTTAAGAGTCACTGTAGGGTGGTTTAGTTGCTCAGTCGTGTCCAGTTCTTCGTGATCCCATGGGCTGTAGACCAGCGGGCTCATCTGTCCATGAGATTCTCCAGGCAAGAACACTGGAGTGGGCTGCCATTCTCTTCTCCGGGGGGGGTCTCCCCCACCTCAGGATCGAACCCACGTCTCCGGCATTGCAGGCAGGCGCTTTACAATCTAAGCCACCAGGGGGCTACCAAGGGACCACCACCACGCCCGCCAAGAAAAGAAAGCCAGCTGAGTCGCTACTCCCATTGCCAAGCCCCAGGGCCAGGCTGGGGGGGGCCCACATCCTTGCATCCAGCAGCGATTCAGGAGGGGCGGGGTGAGGAGGAAGGCAGCGACAGCAGGGGCCAGTGCAGCCAAGGCTGACGTTTGCTATGTGCCAGGCAGCACTGTGAGAGCTGTCTGCATCTTGAGTCATCTGATCCCCATAAGAACCCTTCAGGCAAATTCTACCGTTATTCCCCTTCCAGAAGTCATGTATGGACATGAGAACTGGACCATAAAGAAGGCTGAGCGCTGAAGAAGCGATGCTTTCCAACTGTGGTGCTGGGGAAGATTCTTGAGAGTCCCTTGGACAGCAGGGAGATCAAATCAGTCCATCCTAAAGGACATCAGTCCGGAATACTCATTGGAAGGACTGATGCTGAAGTTCCAATAATTTGGCCACGTGATGGGAAGAGCCGACTCACTGGAAAAGACCCTGATGCTGGGCAAGACTGAGGACAGGAGAAGGGGGCGAAAAAGGATGAGATGGTTGGATGGCATTGTTGACTCAATGGACATGAGTTTTAGCAAACCCTGGGTGATAGTGAAGGACTGGGAAGCCTGGCGTGCTGCAGTCCATGGGTCGCAAAGAGTTGGACACGAGTGAGTGAGAGACTTGAGCAACAAGAACATTCTCCTTCCACACTGTGGGAAAATGAGGCTGGAGGCAGGCTACTGTCCAGGTGTTAATCTGGAGCATGAGTGAGCTGGGAGGAGCCCAGGTTGCATCCATGGGGTTTCCACAGGCAGGAAGGAGGCTGGCACTCCAGGCCAAGGAGCAGCCTGCACTGAGTCCATCCTGCCCCTGAAGCCGAGGTACCAGCCCCTCACCACGCAGTTGCAGTCCCAGTGCAGCTACAAGGGGCCTGAGACCCAGGCTGCCTGCCCTGTGTTCTCCCGCCAGGGCCACTCTGCACTCTATACACTTGATGCCCAATCACTGTTTGGAGATGTGGTCACAGAAACACATCTTCCTTTTCAAGGAGTTTCAGCAACATCCAGATGATCTCTGGGGGATCCAACCAACTGGGGA